TATCTATCTATCTATCTATCTATCTATCTATCTATCTATCTATCTATCTATCTATCTATCTATCTATCTATCTATCTATCTATCTATCTAATCTACCTATCATATATCTATCATTTATTTATTTTTTATTTATATTAAAAATTAGTTATCTCTACCTCCAAACTTCACCTCGGCTTCACTTGGATGTGCTCACTGCAATGTGTCACCCTAACAAGAACACATTGTGTCTAACACACCAAATAGGGAACAGATTCACGTACTGTTAAGACGTGAATGGGACTGAGTTATACCAATGACTCAGGGGTAAAGGAGTTTGCTGTCAAGTCCGGCAACTTGAGCTCAGTCCCTGGAGGCCATAGGGTGAAAGGAGAGAACTGACTCCTGCAAGTCGTGTGTGTGTGTGTGTGTGTGTGTGTGTGTGTGTGTGTCCACAACTGTGTCTAATGTGTGTGTGTGTGTGTGTGTGTGTGTGTCCACAACTGTGTCTAATGTGTGTGTGTGTGTGTGTGTGTGTATGCACGCGCGGACACACATGCACACACATACACACACAATGAGTGTAATGAACTAAACTGTTTTTTTTTTTTTTAAAGATATCTGGAACTGATCTATTTCAATGAACACAAAACCTGATCCATTCACACAGTCACGTGACAACAGCACCTGCTCATGCTGAGCTTAGCAACTACCAGGCTCTGCCTCAGGGACTTTACAGATGTGAACTCTGCATAGTCCTCATGATAACTCTACCAGGTAGGTTTGGTTAGGATCCCCACATTTAAGCAAATGAAGGGACTTTCACAAGTCATTCCTCATTGCTAGGCATCCAAAAGGGCTCCCAGAGATGGTCGAGTCAGCCGGACCTTCTCTATGTGACTACTAGGGCTTTTATTACATAATCTGTCTGGGACTGTTCATTTTGATTGTTAACTTGATGGGCTTTAGAGTCACCAAGGAGATGAACTTCTGGGCAAGTCTGTGAGGGTTTTTCTGGGAAGGTTGAACTGTAGAGGGCAGACCCACCCTTCACGTGGATTGTACCATTGCATGGACTGGGGTCCTGTTCTAAACACAGAGGTCACAGCAAACTGAGCACCGGGATTTAGTGGGTCTCCACTTCCTGACTGCAGATGTAATCTGACGGGCTGCTTCACCCTCCTGCAGCCGCGCCTTCCCACCAAGAGAGCCCGACAAACCCTTAGGTCCTTAAGACACTCTGGCTAGGCGTTTTGCCATAGCAGTGAGGCAAACCACAATGTCCTTCCCAAACTATTCAGCTTTCTCGCTCATCTTCCTCCGCCCTCGTCCTGTCTACATGCCACCTTTACTGCTGGGCCAGCAAGACTGTGACTTGGTCAGACTTGTGACGCAGACACTAACACAGAATATATCATTAGCCAATGCTCGTTGAATGAATAAAAGTTTCTGGTCCTTGAGCAATCGAATTCATTCTTTTCCTGAATTCTTAGCTCCAGTCTCACCTCCTTCTGGGGAGAGGACCCTCAAGCAGTCACAATTTTACATCTTTGTAGCAACACCAACATCAGCCGCCACCGTGCCAGGGACTGACATCGCCCAGGAGAGTGTTGACACCTTACTGTGCCACACAACAAAGCTCACCTGATTCACTCAATCCCAACAAAGCAGACCCAGGAAACAAACAATGAAGTTGCTCTGGCTTTAATATGAGGTTCCAAGGCACAGAGAGGTTAGGGAACTTGTGGAGATCACACAGGACCAGTTGATTCTGAGGGTCCTCTTTGCCCTATTCTCTCTTGGGAAGCTGGCTCTCTGACTAAACCGGCTCAGAGTTCCTTTCTTTTTATTTTCCCACCTGAGACTTCGCCATAGACTGAGGCACAGGAACGCAAAATAATTTTATGTTAAGGGCATCCTGAAGTCATCCGCTGTTTCCACCTCTGCTGAGGCTGTCCACTACTATTCTGACGTGGAGCTCTGTGGAGAAAATTCTGAGAGGGAGAAAAATCTGTCCTGCTGTCCTCAGTGTAAGATGGTTGGATATATTTTACTTGTTTTGATCCAGGTGCCTGGTCTGACTCCACCTCCTGGCCCCTGCCTGAGGGGCACATGTCGATGGAACGGAGATTTAATTATTGAGATGAGGAAACAGGTCAGTCCTTCAACCTGATGCGCTTGCTCTATGGCAAAACACAGCTCCCACCCTGAGCTGGAAGCCTTGCTGGACCTGATCAGCTACTGTGTAGGGAACAGCCATTTGGGAGGGTCACAGTGGTGCCCCAGGATAGATGAGCAGCAGATACCCCCCTGCCCTTCCCCCGAGCACATCCTCTCGATTTATCGGCTCATTAGGCAAGGCCTCACTTGCCTGCATCTCCAGACTGTTCCCAGTGGCCTGGCTGCATCCCACACACCCGTGTTTCCAAACAGCAGCTTGCCCTGCAGCTCTCCCTGAGGTTCCCCGACCACCCAGTCCCCACAGCTGCAGCTGCTTTCCTGTCCCTCAGTTCTGCAAAGATCCAAGGGAGAAGCTCCTGGGCTCCCTCAGTGCCCTGGTCCTCAGGAGAGCCATGGTCTAGCCTGCACCAGCAGCCGCAAGGATGCCAGGCCAAGGGGTGGTGCTGTTGACATGGACGCCAGGCAGGACACACACAGGCACAGGAGTGGGAATGGGCTGGAGTCACTCAGATCTGAGTTCAAACTCTGTTTCCAGGGAGTGTCTATTGATCACCTTTAATGAAGAACCAGAACCAGGACCTGGAGAGGTGGTTCAAGAGTTAAGAGTACTTTTTGCTCTCCCTGAGGACCACAGATGGGTTCCCAGCACCCATATCCAGTGGTTCATAAAAACCTGGAACTCCAGCTTCAAGGGATCTGATGGCCTCTCCTGGCCTCCATGTGTACTACACACACGTGGTATATACACACAGACAAGCAAGCACATACACATAAATGAAAATAAATAGCTTTAAAATGCTGTGTGGCAAATTGTAGGAAGGGACCAGAACCAGGCTGAAGTATAGCTTAGCACATATAAGGCTGTGGATTCGAACCCAGTACTGCAAGAGAACCCACTTCAGTCCAAACTAAACAAATGAAAAGATCTTGAGCGGTAACAAGACCCCAAACAGCACTGTAAGTAAAGATTTACTGAACACCACATATATCCTGTGCCACAGATCTCACCCTGGGGGTGATGTGAATGCCCAGGGCAGACCAGCCCCGCCCTCTTGGGACTCACTATCAACTGGGAATTCAGACAAATGTGATCCTGTGAGGACATGGACATTCTGGGTCTCAAGGTTCCTTTTTTTTTTTTTTTTTTAACCTTAAGTTAAAGACAACATAATTTCTTTAGAGAATTGGTTCATGGAAAATATTAAATAGTCTCTATGAGACTGTGGCAATACAGTTGTCCATCCCTGTATGCTTGATCTCTCTCTCTCTCTCTCTCTCTCTCTCTCTCTCTCTCTCTCTCTCTCTCTCTCTCCTTCTCTCCTCTTAACTAACAACTATCAAAATCACCAGTGAGACTTCCAACTATCAAAATCACCAATGAGTTCTTAGTAAATTTTTACAAGTCTATGAGGATAGAAAAGGCCAGGGGAAGGAGCTCCTTGATGCAGCCCTCCCTGATGCCATGTCCTTAGAAGGAGCAATAAAAGCCCCTGTCACTCAGCAATCCCATAAAAACCTGGTCCCTCAGCCCCTTCTCCTGGGAGGACTGCACCGCCCAGTGTGCTGTGTCTTTGTTCACCGTGTAGAACAGGGAACCTGATCTATGTCAGCCAGGGATTAGCAGGCTCAAGAGCCCCTTCCCCCAGCACCATGGTCACCAGGTGCCGAGCATTTGTCTTCAGTACTTCTAGGAGTGACAGGAAGTATAGGTCACATCATCTCTTCTCACCATAGTCAGTGTTCTCAGGTTCCCAGCAGTTTGAAGGCCAGAAGTAAGGAGCCTGCAACAGAGCACAGGACATCAGAACCAGAGGTACACTGCTGTAACTCTGGGAAATGTAAGCTACAGGAAGACACTCCTTTGGCCTGGCACAGGCTGGCACAGGCTGGCACAGTTTCCTCTCTAACCCCTGGGCAGGACCATGTTCCCACAGCCTTTGGCTTGGGCTTTGACCCACTCCGACTCTCTGTCTCTGCTCCCTCTGAGGCAGAGTCTGGGAGAAGGGCTAACAGTGGATGAGGAGGATGAGTGAGCATGTAGCACATGAGGATGCACACGAGGGTGAGACAGACCAAGGACAGTGCTTTCTATCAGGCTCACTCAGATCAGCTTCCTAAGGTCACTAAAGCCATGCTCATCCTCTGAGTGCCCCCATCCCAAGGGGCTTGGATAGTGTCCCCAGTACCCCCGAGTACCCCCTTTGTAAGACGGGTGATAGCCACTCTTGTAGCAGCTTTTCTTCCAGAAGAAACGAGGGAAATATCTGTTCTCATCTGAACCCTAGTCCTCCAGATGTTCTCATCAGGACCCTAGTTCTCCAGGAGATGTTCTCATCTGAACCCTAGTCCTCCAGGAGATGTTCTCATC